TCTAACAGCCGTAATTGTTCTCAATTCTCAAAATATTCATTTTCCAAGTACTCTCCACGTACTCATCCACAATTTTCAAATTTTTAAGTCTGAAATTCAATCCGTAAGCTCATCCATTTGTGTGGATAATTCATTGACTATTTTCAAATTTAAGCGGGCTTTCATGAATTAGAGCTATTCTTGAAAAATTTCCTGTTTCATCACGTTTTTATTTGGGATCGAAGGGAACTTCATCAGTAGATTCATGCTGGATTCTCGCCTTGGGAGTACTAGGTTTGGGGTTTTTGTCTTTGTGCAGGATTTGCTACAGTTTTTAGTGAAATGTTAAACAACAACTAAATGATCTGGACCTTAACATCGCATGCTCATTTCTTGCTATTTTTCCCGATGAAAGCCTTTTCTTAAGTGCAGATCTTTAATGTGGAAAACGTGCGTAGAGAATTTTTTCCTATATTTTGAGTTTGTGCATTAATCACCCTTTCTTTACAAAAAAACATTAACTCGACTCGTGATTTCGCTTGAAAGTACGATTGTTGCTTAATTTCCAATTTTTAGGTCCACACATTTTGGGAAGAAGAGGGAGGTTTGGATAAAGCTACTCTTGACTTGCTCGGCGACCGTTTTGCTTTGGAAGGTGTCAGTGGAGTGATCGCATCAGCAGAGAAAAGTTTGCAAACAGTGGTATCCGAAGCTATTCGTATAGTACAGGCGTCGAGTCTCCTGGCCATACAAAATAGCGCTAACGCTAATGTGGTGGGCTTCTAATTTCTTCGTTATCCTACATGTCTGTTAAATCTTTATTGCGCAGAAATGGATTTACGAACTGGCATCAGATGCATCACATTGCGGTTTTGATTCCGTTAGACTGTCAACATTCCGCTGGACCACGGCAAAGGATCAAGACAGCTATGAGCGAAAGTTATTCACGACCAAAGGGAAAGACCTAGAGTTAGCAGCAGTTTCTGTGGTTTTTTTTTACAACCATCATTTTGTCAAAAATCAGCTCGATTCAGGGGTGCAATCACCGTGTCGGCAGTTTCTCGCGAAGGACTAATCTGTGATTGTATACTGCCACATGGATCCGGAAAGCTCAAGGCTGGAGCCCAACCTGAGATGAGCTTAGCGGTGGCTATGCAGCCGAAAGCGAGTCTAGCCAATGTGTAGTGGACATCATGTAGCTAACTAGTCTTCTCTTTGAGGGTCTCGTAGAGACAAAACCGGTGCAGACCGACGCATCCCAAAAGGTTGATCAATTACCAGAAGATGGACACCTGCAGCTGGTGACAGATGAGGTAGGGAAGATTTTCTTCGAAAGTTGTGGTTTACCGTTAGCAAAGCAAGTTTCTCAGATTGTTTCTATCTTTTTCTCTTTATTTATTATTCCATTTTGCAACCTTTTTTCTAGAATATTGTTTTTGGAGATATCACCAAGTTCCTCTCAGTTGACACATATGCAGGTGGCTATGTATATGCTTTGGTAAGTTTTTTCTTACTTTAATTAATGAAGGTACTTCTACAGATATTAAATGATCTGTCTGTACCCAGTGATGTCCGCTAAAGATGTTCCTATGAAATCTGTGTTTTTCGCTAGCTGATAAAGTCACTAATAAGCATCGCAATATCATGTTTCATTTCCAGGCTACATTCAAATCAGAAGCGGGAGAGGTCAATCGACTAATGCGAAAACATCCTGCTATGGATGCTTGGCTAGTACACAACGTGAGTCGCATTAATAACCCCAATTTTTCTGGAAAAGTTATTCAAGGCTCTACAATCGAAGCCCTTTACTTGTAGGCTTTGCTATCTGAAGTAGCCGAGTCAGCAACGCTGTCTACAGATCGAAAACAAGGATGTATCATATCCGAAGAAGGCACTCGTGTAGCACTTTTCCGCGTACAGAATACCATGTTAGAAGAACAACAACCAACTCTTCTTGTTGAAGCTTCTCCGCACCGTCCAGCTTTACAACTGCTGTCACATCATCACTTACGATAGGTGCATAAGATTTTCGTTTTTAGTGCTATGTACGGGTCACTGATCTTATGAGGCTGCTGAATGTTTTTAGTTTGTGTTCTTGAAAAATGATCATAATTATTGAGTTCCAATGAATAGATTATTCAATCACCTC